AAGTAACACTGCATGGACAGATACGTGTATAAAGGTCTTAGTGGATCTCCAGGACCAGGGAGAACAGTTTAGAACTGATAGAGCTAACCAAAATGAAGTTGGTTTGCTTTAGTTTCATTTTTAGCCCAGAGATATGAGATGTAATACTTATAACGAGGCATTCATGAATAACTGATACACCGCATGTAACATAATAGCGCGCATTTTAATAAATATTTACCATTTGCGCAATTTATTCTATATGGCAAAAAATCCTTACAACCGCATTATGGCATTAATCCAGATCTGCGCGCACCGCAAATTATGCAAAGTATTATAACCTAGACAAGCCATATTTCATGGCTAGGATTAAAGACATATATTTTTGTTTTACTGGCAATAAATCAAACTGCAATGAGGTGCCTATCACTGCCAGCTTAATGGCTTTCTTAACTTGCCTTGGGTAATTAACAAAACACAGATAGCTTTAGGTAAAAGTAAATAGAAATAATGTGTATATATAACAAAGATCTTAGAGTAAGCTAAGGGCTTTTAGATTAGGTTACTGAATACTGTTTTTATAAACAGGAAATCTGAATACTTGTCTATAGATTAATGATTCAAAGTGTTGAACGTCATATAATAGCTATGATAGCAAAATGTGGGCGCAATACTATGGGCGCTTTCCATTAACACGGCCAGACCGGTCAAATTGTTGAATGGAACACAAGACATTTGGGCTTTGGACCTATCTGACCGGACAATTTAGATAACATTTGAATGAGGTCCATTTTTGCTAGATATTTGAGAAACATAGACCAGATCTTTCCATTGATACGGAGAAAAACAATTTGGGTTTGACCGGTTAGGCCATTAAATTGAAAGCGCCCTATGATAGCAAAATTTTGGCTACGGATAAACAACCCATCATTAAAGGATACTCTGGTTGGTGAAGCAGGAAAATCTGTATGGATCTAAACTTGCAACCAACTTCCTTTACTAAATATTTGCTGGAACTATGCAATATAAAAGTGAATAGCCTTAAAAATTTCATTATACCTCAAAAAGAACTGGAAAACTTTTGCCATTGTTTCGGAAAAATATTTTAAAAGAGCGCTTGGTTGACTACTGGAAAGACAATATTCAACAAAGTGTAAATCAAGGCAAACTAAGGACATTCAAAAGATTAAAAATAATTTTCGAATTTGAAAAAATATATTTCTGAAATTGAAAATATTAAGCATCGCCAAGCTATTACAAAGCTCAGAATTTCGTCTCATAGATTACCTGTTGAAACAGGTCGATATTGCACTGTACTTATTTACAAGATCCACGCTGTGGGTTGTGGATGTGAGTCATTCAATGTCAAGTTGCGGTAAAACAATTCAAAACCTAAACCACTTCAGCGGTACTACTCAAGCTATTTTGTTTCAGGATTACTATTTAGTGTTTGTCTGCAACACAGAATGCATTGAGGAAGCAACACAAAAAAGACATTAGAGAGTTTAAGTTCGACTTCCGATACCAATACCGATACTAACAACATGTCACGCGCATGCTCTCTGCTTGCAAGAAGCATGAGGACAAGTGTATTGGAAGTCACCACTACCGAAGTCGGCCTTGTATTGGAAGTCGGGGGAATTGTAAGATAAACTCATATAAATCGGATATTTCATAATTTTTACGATAAACATGTAAACTATTTGTTTATTAGCATCGCCTGAGTCATGTTTTAGTCGGAATTTTAGCTCAGCTGCCATTTAGTATACCGCACATTTTCGGTGACTATTAATGTGTTCTATACTCGTGATAACTTAACGCTTTAAAATTCCCGGTACCAAAATGAGAACGGAAGTGAAAACATCGGTATCGGTATTGGAAGTCGAACTTAAATTCTCTATTTTCTTTATACCTGACGGAGTGCATTTATACAAATAATAGAGAATTAAAGATTGACATTAGGGACTTTAAGATTGACGTTTAGGGCAAACCGCAAACTTCACATCGCATTTGAAAGTAAGGCCTACAGTTTCGAGTTGCCCTAACTTTGAACAGCTAACAGTTTAACTGCGGACGGCAGTAAACGCCAATCTTAAGTTAAAGTCCCTAACGGCAGACCGCTAACTGCAAGCTTCAAATCACATTTGAAGGGAAGTTCCGGCTACATCCCTAACAAAAAAAGTCTATAGGCCTGGCCTATAGGCCAACCTATAGGTTTCTATAGGAAACCTATAGGTTTTTATAGGCAATTGGAACATTTTCTATAGGTGAGCTATAGGGATGCCTATAAGTCTATAGAGCTCTATAGGTGCCTAAAGGCTTCTATAGGGAATTGGAACAATTCCTATAGGAACCTATAGGCCACCTATAGACTTTTTGCGTAAGGGATGTTTTGGACAACTAAGTATAAACTGTTCATGGTTCAATGTTAATGCACAAATTGGGCTAATTTTGAACAGTTAACAGTTGACCTCAAAATTCGATTTGAAGTTGCCGTTTGAGGTCTGCCACTCTCTAGGGAGTTTAACCTTCACGTTTCCCGGAGCGGCAGGTTCGAACTTTCTTGGCAAAATTTTCGTTGAACGTTTTCGTTTCATATTTTCTTTCTTGTGTCGAAAGAATAATCATGCATTGCAGTGAAACAGCACGTTCATTTACTCTTTATTGCCTATATAAAATACCATAAAATTTTTCTTTGCCTGGCGTTTGCCGTCCATTTTCTTTGCCTGGCGTTTGCTGTCCATTTTAAATAATTTATTGCATTATACAGCTAACAGACTTGTATAGCTTGGGATTGCAACACGAATAGACACACAAGTTTTCGTTTCAAAGAATATGACCTATAGTTGCTAGTATAAATATAAGCTAACGGCGCATTACTAACAATAACACTGTAAAAAGCCCTTCATAATGGGTTAAATCACAAGGGTTAAATATGTTACTACAAGTACAAATAAAATATAAAATCTGGTACATATAAACGGACAGCCTAGGGACAAATCATCGTTGTAATCAAGATTGGCTGGGGAAGCCCCATTGTGCATGCGCGTCACGGATATGCGGGCCGGAAGGTTTGCGGGTTCACACTTAATGACCAAACACGCTGGGAACTCGAAAACATAGTTCTTTTTATTTCTAATTTGTTTGTTTTGCTTGAAGAAGCTCAGTAGTGAGCCCTAAACACGATTTGAAACGATAACTTTTAGATTACTAGTCTGACGCAAGTTTTATTCTGTAAAAAAACTAAGTATTAAATATTTTTAGATACAAAATCATACATAGCTTTCATTCATCATTGATTAAGGCTTGACATTGTAAGGTGAACATTTTCAGCGTTTGTTTACAGCTTAGGCTTAACCTTTACGTTCGTTGTACAAGTACAAATTTGGTTAAAAGAGTTTAATCTGAACGGTTTTGTGTGGTGTCAAATACGTAGTTTTTGTGCTTCCTGGAAACAATGACGTTCTCAAATATTTTCACAGGAAAAAACGACAGATCCTGTGGATTAAACCAATATTTATGTTTGGTTAAATACAAAGGTGGTATATTTTGATATCTGTGTGGGCACTTTAGTGACATCATAGGCACCGAAAAATGTAGATGAATTTATCATTCAATTTCAATTAAGTTTTGCTTGACTAGATATACGCCTGTATTCTAAAAGCTCACTCACACTCGAAGAGTGAAGGTTCAATCTGAGCTTCTCTCGAGTGTCATTGCTGTTTTTGAATAGCTGGAGGGTGAGTGTCGTACCTTACTATGCGACTACTCACGCTCCAGCTATTTAAAAACAGCAGTGACACTCACGAGAAACTCAGATTGAACCTCCACTCTTCGAGTGTGAGTGAGCTTTTAGAATACAGGTGATAGTCTATAGATACAGTACGCAGAGGTCCTCTACCAACCAGTTCCTGGCCAAGAACAAATCTGACCTTCCCTTAAGATCAATGTGATAATGAGGGTATCCTAAAGAATGTGCAGAGTCCCCTATTTAGGCAGCTTTATTTGGTCGAGCACGGGATACGAACTGATACCAAAATGTTGGTATACAAGGCTGTAGTTTTGCCTTTCCTCCTTTATTTCTCGGAATCCTGCACCTCATTACGTATGCTGTCTACACAAGATACAATTGTCTACATATTATAGGATTCTGTCTCCACGTCTGTCAGTAGAATTATCAGAAACTTTGTTCGCGCTTTTTTTCTCGTCTTAAATTTCCGCGCGACATGTCTGAGCCCTGTCAAGATTATTCTGAATTCCTGTAAACTGTCCCCCAGGTAGGTCGCTGACGACGACCTATGTACGTTTCTTACGAGATTGCTACAACATTTAACGAACTCTGTGATACAACGTGTGTTTTATCTTTCCATATTTCCTTAAATATCGGGTGTGATCTCGCCATTAACCCTTAAGTGCATTAAATGTGGTTTTCATTAGTTGAAAAAATGCAGCAAATTAGACTTAAAACAAACAGTTGCCAAGTATACGGTGTTTTTTAGAACAACAGACAAAATACTTTTTGGCAACGACAAGCATATGGCCAGATTGCAGATAAAAAGATATTGAACAGCTCTCTTTCATCTCTTCTTATCACAGTCTTGCTTCACTTCAGGCGGCTCCATTTACTCTTTGGAGTATTTTTTTTGAACACCAATAGAATTTTTTGAACACTAATAGAATCGAACCGATCACATGACTGTTCTGGCTGCCCTTTGAGTAAGGGGCAGGACAGTCATGTGGCCGTGTTCGGTTCGATTATATTACTATATTAGTGTGCCGAAAATCCAGAGTACTCAGTGAATGGAGCACCGGTTGGCTTTCTCTGCAATGCCTACCACCAACATCTTCCGATCTCTTCATTCCATAATGTTTATGAACGGCTCTTCACCACCTCAACTTAACACGTGTCCGTACCATGTCAGCCTTCACCTTATCTGCAAACCACACAAAATGTCACCGCGTGTAATTAAAATAGTTCATTTTAATTTCAGGTTTTTAATTTCAGGTTTTAATTTCATCAAATGTCTGCCGTTGCAGTGGTGGCTCCAGTAATTACACCACCCGGGAGCTGGCAATATGGCGATCCGTCCTTGACCAATCTCCGGCTATCGTTGCTAGATCGGGGCCAGTCGGATGGCGTAACGCGGCGAAAACGGACGGGCAGCTCACGCAGCAGACACTCATGGCGCTGGTCATGGAAACAAATGCTTACAAAGCCTTTTCAGAATCAAATATGGACTCGTGGGGGAAGTTTGAGGGGAAAAAGAAACCGAAAGAAACGCAAAAGTGAATCTCAAAACGTTTCAAAAAATTCAGTTGAAACCAGAAAGACAATGGACGAGCTCAAACGGATATGGTATTGTGACGTTAATGAGTCTTCCGAGGAAAGTTCTGATGATGAGTTATCGGAGAGAGATCGTAGACGATCGTGTTACCCTCGGATCTTTGGTAGCGACTCGTCAAGTTCTGACAGTGATACCGAATTTGAAGAGGAACACCAGGTGTCAGAGTATGTTAGAGATGGTCCTTCAAGGATAAAAGTGGATATTATACGTGAAGATGAAGGAACAGGTGAGGACCTTGGTAGGATATCGGAGACTAGCTCGCAGACCTCGGACACAAGCGACTCTTCATCTGAGATTAATCTTATACAAAGCCCAAAACAAGGAACAATTAGTCAAGTAGTTCACCCCAACAACCCTGACACAAATGGTTATCAAAACATTTTAAGACAAAATGAAAGCATGAAAAGATACGAAGTCATAGAAATGAAAAGAACTGATTATGAACAACAGCCCCCAACTGAGAAAGAACGAGAAGAAATCGAGAGAAACACAGTCTATCCAGAGCCAACTATTGTTTGTCACCCTGTAGCGAAAACCGCCCATATTAAAGCAATAGTGATACCAGAATCTCGCAATTCTACCACTTATGCTCAAGTACCGTCAGCATCTCAAGCTACAGCTAAAAGTGACCTCGAAAGTGACTACATAAATAAAGCGATAGCCGATTCCTCAAATACCGTCAATTATGGACCACAGTTCATTACAGTTTCTGGACAAATAACTGACAAAAGTAAAGTCGAACCCAATAATTCTGACATGAACACAAACGGTTTTTCCCACGATGCCTCAACCCAAGAGGTAAACAGCAAGGGAGGCGAAGAACAGGCTGACCGTATTAACCCTAGGGTGATGACAAGTACACATGGTCTGATTAACAATTATCGTAATGGCCGCGTTATCTCAGTAAGACAGATTTACCATCAAGATATTTTGAAACGAGTTGATGAATTATGCGCGCAATGCGGTGAGGAGGTTTATGGGGGAAACGAGACCAAATCTGAATCGTATGCGGTAGAAAATGGTGGTACATGCCATGAGAGTGCGAGGTTTACCACGCAAGAGAGCGGAATGAAGAAGTATAGTTTTAATGGGAATTTCCATGACCTGGATTCACCACAGGAGGGATGGCGGAAGGAATCGAGTGAAAAGGTAGATAAATATTTCTTATCGCTAGACCATCATAGAATAACTACACGCGCAGTTTACTCAATGAGTTTAATAAACCTGGACTCATTTTAGGGATCAGTCTTTGTAGAAATGAAATTAGAAAGCTTTGGATTGATAGAGATGCAACTACCTGAAAAGTACAAGGAGAACTTCGACGTTTCGAGCGAAGGCACATTGGGAAGTTAGACAAGTTAGTAACCTGCTAACTAATTTTGTTACGAACTTCCCAACGAAGGGCATTCGCTCGAAACGTCGAAGTTCTCCTTGTATTTTTCATGTAGTTGTATCCCTATCAATCTGAAGCTTTCATATTATTGCCACTACCTACACTGACACAGACTGTTCAAGAAATTAAATTAGTCCAATTTTCCTAGATATTTGATAAAACTCTCAGTTAGTATCGAAATTTTGCCTCGAGTGTGATGGTTAGTTAAAAGGCCCTTAAAAGATATCAAACATTTCGCTAAGTTAAAAGTTCTTAAAATATTTACTAATTAAAAATATTTCAGCAATCGAGGACCTGTTTAACATAAATTGTTTCCGTCTTACCAAAAATATGCCATAAACTACAAGGGGCGAAACTAGCCCCTTTTAATTCGGGGGGGGGGGGGGGGGGTCTGCCAGAATTCCCTCTGACAGCCCTGTAAGTTACTTAATAACTCTACATTCTATCATTTTAAATCTCTGTGACTGCCCTGCCAATCCAGATGATTCGCCCTGCCAATCCATATGATTCGTATTTTGGGGGGTGTCACCCCCCCCCCACCCCTCAAGTTTCGCCCCTGTAAACTACAATCAAATTATAATAAAATATTAAATTACGCTAACATATTTTACCTACATATTCAAATGTTACTAGCATGGCAAAATAATCTCAATTTCGAATAATTGTTAGTCTGGTACTATCTATACTAATTATAACCATAAGATTTCCAATCTAGTAAACTTAAGGTGGAGTAATAAAATTGCTGCAACTTGCAACAAAATCTGATTTCTACGCATGTTAAGTAGAAATGTTTATTCACATAGATTACAAATCACGAGGCAACATGTGTCGACATTACTACTTAACATGCGTTGAAATCAGATTTTGTTGCAAGTTGCAGTGATTTTGTTGCTCGTGTTACTTAAGGCTCGTTTATACACTTGCAATTTTTGCTGCGATTTTCATCTTCTGATGGATGTAAACGAGTGGATGAGTTAGGAATATACAACAGTGAGACATATACTCAGAACAGTCATAACTCATCTAGTCGTTCACATGCATCAGAAGACGAAAATCAATTGTAGCAACAATTGACCATTCCCCAATTAACCAAAATTTTGAACTCAACAAGTCTAGACAAAAATTTCATCACAGCTTGAAAGAGCATCACAAAATTAGTAATATTCCAAAGTTTCGTTGCAAAATGTTGTAAAATGCAGATAATATAGCCTTGCGAAGTTTGTAATTTTCAGTCATTTTAGATTACAAACTGGAAATGGTTACCACTTCTTTGCGTAATACAAAATGACTGAAAATTACAAACTTCGCAAGGCTATATAATCCGCATTTTACAACATTTTGCAACGAAACTTTGGAATATTACTAATATTTTGTGATGCTCTTTCAAGATATGTTGAAATTTTTGTTTAGGCTAGTTATGATCAAAATTTTGGAAAAGTGGTAACCATTTCCCGTTTGTAATCTAAAATGACTGAAAATTGCAAATTTCGCAAGGCTATATTATCCGCATTTTACAACATTTCGCAACGAAACTTTGGAATATTACTAATTTTGTGATGCTCTTTCATGCTATGATGGAATTTTGTTTGGACTTGTTTAGATCAAAATTTTGGTTAATTGGGGAATGGTCCATTGCAAGTGTAAACGGGTCTTTAGAGTCCTGGTTCAAATTTCAGTCTTTTTACGAGTCATGCAGTAAGCCGCATTGGACAAAATAAGCATTTGAAGATAACGACAGAAACATTCATAAATATGCCTCTATCAGGAAAACCACATTGTAAGCAACTTCCGCGGCATTATGCGTCAGGTACGCGCGAGTTTCACGAGAGATTTTTAACAGCAACCAATCAAACATGAGTATAGGAAACATAAAGTTGCAAACCTCGCGTGGAGTTTGTGAAAAATGACACGACAGATAGTAGTTTAGGTAAGGTTAGCAGCACGCACTTGTGTATACAGTCTCTCAAGCAGGCGCACCAAAATAGAAGTGAGTGATTTTCTCTGCTGACTCCAGTATGGACGGATATTTTTCAACGCAAGATTTGAACGTAATTCGACGCTTTTTGGGCATGTCCTTACAGCAAATTGATGCTAAAAAGGCACTACAAATAGGCAGATATGAGGTAGGTTGAATAGAGGGCACCTAGTCACTTAAAGGAAAGTAATATGAGCAGGAAAAATGGTTTAACTTGCAAATAATCTCAACGTCTCCTAAGATATACCATGTCCTTCTAACATTTCTTTATGATCAACTTTTGTTGTTCGTATTACTTTGCTTTATCTATAGGAATTTCAGCTTTCGCGCGCGCGTGTAGAGCACGTCTATCTTTAGAAGCTTTCTAAAAGCGCCACTATTAGGAAGTGTGGAGCACAAATGCTGAGAAGCTATACTCGCATTAGCGGATGAACCGTGAACGTTTAGCAGTGCCGCAAGGTCAAGCATGCCGACATATTTGAATTTCCTTTTGAGTACAACTGGAAAATAATTATCAATATAAATGACCTGCGCTCGAGTCAAGCATATTGATATCATATAGAGGAAGTATACATGTTCTTGAATATGCCGGGCTACATTAATATCATTTGATGTACAGAACTCACTGCTGAGTTAAGCATATAGTATCATGTAGGTATACTAATACTACATGACATGTTCTTGAATGTGTGGTCCGGCTAGGTAGTGCATATTCTAGTCGCTCGATCGCTTGCCTTAATCATGGATAAAGAAGTCAAATTAGAGAAGTTGACATATGGCAAGTCTATATACTGTTGAATGTGGGTTACGTTAAAGTTATCTGATGCACTCATCATGTGCATAACTCACTGCTGAGTTAAGAGGTATAGATGTTCTTGGATGTGGGCTACCTAAAGTGAAGTGATGTTGTAGAGATCTCGCTGTATCATGCATCGAGAATACAGAAGTATATGACATGTAAACTACCGACCCTACAATGATCTAATCCTACAATATGTGCCTGTATTGGTATTTGATGAATAAAGATGATTATTATTACAAAATTCAACGCTTAGTTTAGCATAGTTTATATATCTATAATTATTTTCATTTTCAGCGCTTTCCGTATAAGATAGTTTATAGGAGGGTGGGGTGGCCCATTCAGCTACAAACTACAAAGGCTGGAGGGACTAGTAGTTAGTATCCAGCCGTTGTTTAGTCTATTTCAGTATACGTATGTCAAGTTTGGTCTTATCATAAGATTTAAAATGAGAAACTATTGATATATTGACAACTTAATATGATCTATCTTAATAGAATACTCGTATACAGAAAAATTCAGACACCCAACTCGAGAGCTTGATTAAATTATAGAGATTTTCGTGCGATTAGTACAAGTGGGCATGCAAAAGAATGACATCATTGAGAATGCTTCATTTCAGAATCAGTCGAGTCAAAGAATCCTGACTTGTTGCTAGGATAATCCGTCTGCGCAATCGAAGTACGCTCTACAATTAGTAAAAATCCACTCTTGTTTTTTTGGCGATACTATTAATTCAAAAAATTGTTCATGATATGAAAATTAGTGAATATTATCTTATGCCTTCTGGTGTTAATAATTTTAAAATATTAATTAGTATCAATTACGAAAGTTAAATGTCAATACATTAATTAATGAATAACTTTTAAATAGAAACTGGTATATCTAAGCATAGCTCAGCTATCGCACGCAATATATATATGCATATATTTATGAATGAACTCTTTTATAGGAACTTTATAACTAGAAGATCACCACCATAATTTGTGTCTTGTTTTCTTTAAATAACCCATATCTTGAATTTACAAGATGGCATCATTATTTGGAGTGTTAGTAGTAGTCACTGACTACCATATTTGTATATTTTACGCTACAAGGCAATACAGAGTAAACGAACTTGTTATCTTAAAACTATAATATATAATCATGATTTAATGACATAAGATTGAAAATGTGATAAGTTAAACTCCATTTGTTGTTGCCTTCAAACGTGAAGCTTTGAACTCCCCATTGCATGGTTCTACTTGAGCTGACTCAGCTGAGAGAAAACCAGTGATGTTTGGTGGAGAGAAATTAGAATCAGACAACAGCAAAGAAAGACTTTTGCACAGTGGGAAACCTCAAAAAATCAACCAACCTTAAAAACATTATATTGTTGTGATATATCTCGATGGCCTTAATTGAGCAGGCAGACTCTCACTCTATATAATTCTTGTGCAATCAAACTTGCTTAGATAAGTGGTCTAATTATACACTCAAGCTTCTGGCGAATCAAACATTGAAACGTTCAATTCTTCAAAGGGTAAACATACCTAACATTCATATTTTCGACTTAAACGTTATAATTTTTACATACAAGACAATATATAGTATACTAGCCTATATAAGTATTTGAATATAACATTAACGTATTTTTCTTTCATTTAGCAGCCAACTAAAGACGTGGTTCCCGACTACCCAAGCACTTATCCAAAGACGACACACTATCAGGTTTGCATGTATTTTAGCGTTTGTATTCGAACATACGATCTTTAAAAGAGTTGGAACGCGAGACTTGTTAAAACGAAGTCAGTAATGCATGTGTGAGTGTTACTTTCGTGAGGTTATTTCAACCAAGTAAAAACATGTAACTCTTGTGATCAGCGAAGCAATAAGTCTCAATGACGCCCATCAATATTTGCAATTACTAAAGGCAATACTGAGCATGTGCGTCATCTCTACGACTACGAGTTCACGTCATCTCTACGAGTTGTCTGTGGAGCAAAGAATGTTCAAGAAATATTTCAAAATTTATTCTCCTTCCTTAGATGTCATCTCAAAATGAAGAACAGTATTCAACACTGCAATGCGAGTTCAAACGTTTTGGATGCAAATTTTCGGTAAGTAAGATGTTCATTACTATATGAACTTGCGGTTAGAGCTCCGAAAAAGAGTTGGGGCGCGAGACTTGTTTGTGGGGGGCATTGGGGGTATTCAATACTGTAATACCTCAAGCAAATTTTGTCAATAACCGCAGTTTTTCACCGCAAGATTTCCAATATCGTAATACCGCAATTTTTCAAGGAAAATACCGAAATACCGTAAGAAAAATAAGCTAATACCGCCATACCGTAAATCCCAATGTCCCCCCTTGTTTGAATTCTAACACGAAGTGCTATTACTATTTATTTTTAATATTTAATAACTTGTATACAAATATCTTTCAGTATAGTCCTGACGATTCATTATTTTCAGGGCACCAGCACGGCTGTCGACAAGCACATGCAGTCAAGTCTGAACGATCATCTAAAACTTGTCAGCAAACTCGCGCAAGACCAAAAAGAACAACTGGAAAGCCAACAACTGGAACAACAAAAACAAAGCTTACTTATCCAACAGCTCACAGACACGGTGAACAACCTGGAGAAACTTGTCAGGGAACAACACCAAGTGAGTCAATCTCAAGAAAAAACTGTACACACCCTCAAGGATCAAATGAAAGACCAACGAAAGCAGAGTCAACGGTTTGAACGAGACATCACGAATCAAGTCCAAACCCTTAACCAATCACCGATAAGTTCAGTACCCACAAGCCCTTGCGCGGCTGAATTCGTCTTGCCAATCAGAAACTTCAGGAAGCGACTACGACGTGTACAAGATGGAGAGATAGACGACCCTTTAATGAGTGAACCGTTCTATACTGGTTCCTACGGTTACAAACTTTCTATGTGGGTCTACCTGAATGGTCGAGGGAAAACCCTCGGAGACTGGGTCTCAGTTTATGCTCGCGTCATGCCAAGTGACCATGACAACATACTCAGCTGGCCAGTAAGACCGATGTACACGTTTACATTGTTAGACCAATCAGAAGGCGAGAAGGAGCACGTTGTGCGCAAGCGCAAAGTGAACGATATAAAACGCGATGGCGGGAAACATCACGGCATTCATCGACCTGAAGGCGGAGAGCGCTCGGTGATTGTCGGATTTGACGACTTCGTCACGCATGCGCAGTTAGAGAAGAGGAAGTACCTAGTTGAGGATTGTCTTTTTCTGAAGCTTGAAGCAAATATTATGTATTAGACTTTCAAGGAGCACACACACTCGGCATAAAATCTCATGTGATGACTTAGCAAATGCTGTTCACCTTGGGCAACTGGTGTTTGGTTATTGGACTCTGGGGCTGGTTGTTCAAAAGCCGGTTAGCTTAAAGCTGGAGTTACACGAGCAACAAAATTACTGTAACTTGCAACAAAATCTAATTTCTACGCATGTTCATTGAAAATGTTTACACATAAATTACAAATCACGAGGCAACATGTGTCGACATTTCTACTTAACATGCGTTGAAATCAGATTTTGTTGCAAGTTACAGCAATTTTGTTGCTCGCGTATATACGTAACTCCAACATCTTGTTTATAAACTTGGAAATATTTGTTCAGAAATCTTGTCTGGATCAATGAGTTTTCTTCTCTGAAATTTTGAAACAAATAGACGTGCAGAAAAACATAAACTAACACAGCAGGTTAAATTTTAACCTAGGGGTTAGCGCTAATCCAGCTTTGAACAACCGGCCCCCGGAGGCAACGCACACATAAGAAATGAATGATTTCCACAAACATTTATGGACGGAAAAATGCAGTAAATTTTGTTCAACTTGGTGTTGTTTTTCAAGGGTATATATTGAGCAATAAGGAACATTATGAAATCTTTATCGTCATGTACATGCATGGGTATATAAATTAATGCGCACTTTTGTTGATTTAACTTCACATTATGTTTGTACAATTGTATTTTCTACTGTATATTTTGTACTAAATACTACTACGGAAACATTAAATATAAACTACAACTGCAAAATATGTTAAATAAAGCTGTTAGAGCTTCATAGAGGTTCGTTATCGATAAATCGTTATCAACAATCGATTAATCGTATTAGTTAATTTAAATTTGACACGTGAGGTATTTGCATAACATACGCCAACTTAACGGTCACTGAAATCCATCAATAAAAAGACTCAATTTTTCATGGGGTATCTGTACATGAGAAATAAATTATTCTAAATTACAGTTCTTCATGATGAGATTTATCTTCAGGATGTTCATCATCTTCAATTTGATACATAGGATCATGATATTCGCCAAGAATTCCTTCCAACTCGGCTAAATCATTTTCAAGTGATGCAAACGTCTGTGAAGATTAAGAATACGCTTAATATCTATGGATCTAAATATCCGTGGATTTGCAAAGCAATGAACTGAAGACATCAAGGTTACTCTAATCAATGGATTCTGACTGGCACTGCTGTTAAATGCTAAGCCAAAGTGTTATTGCAAAAAAGTCAAAGCTTGTATAGTAAACTAACAACTTAAACTTAAATATTAAGCTGGAAAGAAACTTCTCTAAAACACAATTATACTCAAAATTTCATCTACAAAACCTCTTCCACATCCTGATATACTGTAGTTCAAGGTAACACTATATATTACACACACACAACTTACTACACAAAATCACTATACTAACCTTGTAAAACTTTTCTATACTTCTATTGCTGAACTGTCTATGAGCAAATTCTTTAATGATTCAATGATGCAGGCTTGTCATAATTGCCATATTGAATGTTTGCCGAATATATGCATGGTAATAAGCAGCCTCGAATTTAACGATTAAAAACCCACGAAGTACAAACAACGTTTAACGGAGTACAAAAAAATAAACAGTTGGAAACTTCAGAAAAACGGCGTTAATTTCTTCGCATTTCTAACCTTGAATCCTATTTATAGGAAACCTTTGCAGCTTTACAAAAAATGCATATTAAATCGACGTGTAGGTTTCACGGTGCATGATACCAGAAAGTGGTTGTACATACGTTTCGGAGAATTATATTTATAGGAAACCTGTGCAGCTTCACAAAAAATGCATATTAAATCGACGTGTACGTTTCACGGTGCATGATACCAGAAAGTGGTTGTACATAAGTTTCGGAGAATTATAAGTGCATTGAATAACCGTAAGATAAATTAAACTTTATGACAAGCTAACAGACTAGCTCAAAAGTTTAGAGACTTACTAATCGATTCTTCGAAGAACTCAATCTCACAGCTTAATCTCAAAGTTAAACCGGATTTTCTCGATTAAACTTATTTTGTATATATAATATATTTTCACACTTAACAACAATTGTTCATACCTTTTCATCCAACTGGTTAATATCCTCTACGTCTACGCTGCCATCTTTATTTACATCTGTCGATTGAAATACCTACAGTACATAAAAGAGTGACACATTTACTCGTTATAAAAATTAAAATCATTGTACTAAGTTCTTTGTATGTTAGCATGGTGATAAAATATAATAGGTTTTGTTTGTGGAAACACCACGTAAATTTTGGTGTTTCCACAAACAAAACCTATTAAAATTGTACTATTATACAGGGTGTATAAAAAAAAGAAGACCTTTAGAAATCAACCAAATTGTTAAAATTTGAATGCCTTTTCAATTGCACATATGCTGAACCGTAGTGTGTGAAATATTGATGGGGTGCATATATTAGAAAAAGGAGACCTTTAGAAATTGAAATAACGTTTAAACACAACTGTAAGTGTTGGGTATACAGTATTTAATCAGTATACGTACATGTCCTATAAACTCCATGATATCAGGTTCAAATTCGGGTTTTACTTCGGCCTGAATATTCTAAATAAGAAAATAAATTAACTATTATTCTGGTACAATGCCTGAATACCAATATAAAAGTCATTCTCCTGGCAGAATAGAATTATTGTTCTAAAACAATACTCATTGTTCAAAACCATTGTTCTCAAACAACAGGGACATTGTTCTCAAACAAAAGATTCATTGTTACTTACATCTTTAAGGAAATTAACAAAATCATCATAAGATAAATGCTTTTTTTTCTTAAGAACCAAAGCCAACATCTCCCTGGTAGTAAAAAACATAAGATACTGTACACCAGGGGCAATATATAAGAAATTGTACACACAATCAACACTGATATCACAGGAAAATTAACTTTCCAATAATGGGAGATTTACCATGTTGAAACCATTCATGAAAAACTTATCATTATTGCTTAATTATTATAAATTTCTCAAATGACAAATGGTAAATTGGTAGAAACCATGATTAATTATTCACCATGATTTTTCCCTGTGTGCATAATTATATTGAACAAAATAGTTATATACATGGTTGTGTAGAGAAAGGAGGAGTGCATATTTCTAGTTATGTCTTCTGCTGAAGACTCTACAATATTACAACACATTGATGAAACAGCCAAATAAATAGTCTACAAAATACATTTCAAGTCAGGGTCTGAAATTAAAATATTTTCTCAGTATCCAACTGGGATACCAGGATTCAAAGTTTAGTACCCCCCCCCCCCTGAGAATCCAGTATCCCACTTCTGGATACTGGTTACCATAAGTATTCTACCCTGTCCCATCCAATAACTAGACAATTCATTAATCCACAAAAATGCACATTATATGAGGAAAGGCTTGGGTGACAAACTCGTAGTATTCAAAAGCTATCAGCAGACTGTCAGAGGTGTTTAACATTTTCCTAATGTTTGAAATTTTCTTAGTATCCAGTTGGGATATGAGTCATTCACAGTTTGGTATACAAAACCAAATTTTAGTATCCTGTGGATATCGGGATACTGTAAATTTCAGACCCTGCAAGTAAACTTACATTAAGTTTTCAGGCTCGTCACTTTCAGCAGCATCATCATCACCATCACCATCATCATCATCATCAGCACCATTTTTTTTAAGAGATGTAAAATTAAACTGATCCAATGTTGCACCAGTTGGCATGTCGTCACACTTGCTTGGTACAAATGAATGAAGATGTTTCCACCAAATATTAACTGCAATGTTGCGTCCAACTGAAGTCACTTGATGATACCTGGAAATGGTTAGCATCCATATAGGTGGGGTTTCATTTCTTGGGGTGTGTACTCCCAGAAGTACCAGTAGTTAGCATTGTGTAGTACAAACTGAAAATTTCATGATTCATGTTGACAGCAACATATTGAGCATGATGGGGTGGGGTAAGCTGAGCTGCAAGGCACATATTGACCATGGCAAGGTGTATCATAACTGGGGAATATGGCAATTACTGTTCGAGGGAAAAACATCAGCCTAAGACATGGGCTCTCACCTGGTGGTAGGTATACAATTTTGGGGTAAATATCGAGATTTTGCTGGCATCTCACTCGACTCAATAATAGTTGCTCGACAATTTATGCCAGTAAGTTGTCTCTGACTCTCTGTAGCAAATAGTGCTTGACAACTGGTCTCTGTAGCTCAGAGCACTGCACTGGAATCACAGGGCTGCAGGTTCAATTCCTGCCAGGGACCTATCGTTGCATTTTTCGCAGGTGTTCCTGGTTATGTCTAATAAATGTTTATAAATTTCCACTCAATAATAAGACCCATGCAGTTTATGGTGCATCCTAGTTCGTCAAATTCCCTGCATTAACCCATTAGAGTGCAAGACTCTCTCCTTGAAGAGTAAAATCGTCTGGCGTTAGACAGAGTAAAAGAATAAAGTGGCCGCATTGCTGCTTAATGGGTTAACCCTACAGTGAATCTACTCTTAATTATTCAACTATCACATGTGATAAAACATACCATTTAAAAGGAATAAACAAACAATCTCCAGTTTCCATTTTGGCTTCATAAAATTCAACCTCGTGAAATATTGGATATTTTGTGAAATCCACTCTAAATTTAATTTGAAACAACACTTGAAATTTGTAGAAAGGTCCTATTTTTTTTGCTTTAGGAATACGTACTTGTCAACATCAACACCAGAGAATCCACCCCAAGCATTATCTAGTCGCAGCTAGAGAAAGATGAAAAGAACATTAGACATTTATCATATTTATACAAAATCCTCCTTCAAGACAAACTCTGCATACAATAAGATTTTATTCGGATGATTGGTCTGCTTGCTATTGAACAAAAGGTTTTAATTGCTCAATAGCTTATAGCCTTATGTTTTTTTTAACAAGTTGATAGAGATGTACTAAAGGTTTAGATGATAGCTGGTTCCATTCCTTGTAATTAATAAGCTAATAGCTCCCTGATGTCTAAAGTCATGATCTGAAGACATGTCATTTTTGCACACCCTTCTTGACAAATGCTGCACATGTACTTACCTTACTTTTGTATTTCTGATACTCAACAAACAACAAAGTTTTGGAACCACGGTATAAGCAATTGATATTCTCAACATCATCATGATGAAATACAGACTTTGTTCCTCCACTACTAAACCACATCACCTAAAATGCAGGCGAAAAAGTATTGCTAATGGTGCAAAAATGGTAACTTATCAATTTGTTGAGCACACTTGACTGTTGTTGTTACCCTGTAGCTCTGGGGGTGCAAAAAAGTTAGGGGGGGAGGTGTGACTGAGGGGGGCATGTTAGCACCCACCAAGCAAGCTGCTGAGGGGTCTGGGGGCACAGTCGATAGTGTGGACAGGGTTGGGGTAAAACCACCAGGTAATTTTGAGAGTTTTGGTCTATTTAGTTCAAAATCCTTATTTCAATCATACTACTGTTATTTAATCCAACAAGCATTTAAATTTCAGGGTGGAGGTGCAAAATTCTCTAGGTGGAGGTGCAAAACATTCCGAGAAGGTAAAAAATATGGGGGCACACCACCGCCAGAAAATCCATCTGTGTTACCTATACTAACCGTGTCAACAAGATGTGGCTTTACGTCTTCACAAAGCAAAGCAGGAGGTAGTAAAATATCTTTTCTATCAGGAAAAATAAAACACAGTTAGTCAACATGCTCATTTAGAATATATTTCAAAGTTAATATGCAACTTATTAAATAGAGATTAATATTTGATTGATAGTTCACACATTTAAATAATTTGTTTACATAACAAATATGCACAATTTTTAAACAATAACAAAGAAATATACTTACTGTAATATATCAGGAACACCATTGACCATGTAAATATCAGAATTATTATAGCTTTGTACGAATTCTTTAAAACTCATCTCCATTCCAGGGATTGTTCTATTTTCTTTCTTTCGTTGTTCTGCAAACACTGTTGTATTTTCTGCTCCAGGTAGGGACACAAAATAATCATCCGTCCACACCTTAAAAGCTGGCGAAATCTTCGCACCGTTCTTTATTAACAAAGGTTTACTAGGCGCAACAAAATCTCGAAAAAAGTCCTGAGGTTTTGGGAATTGGTCTACGGAAGTTACAGAATGTTTTATATTTCGAGATCCAAGGGGCTCCATATGGCCCAGCCATGTTGTAGGATCGTCATTGTTTGCATCTTCTGTGTTCGCGAAATTTGCGAATTGAACAAGAATAGATATTAAAAGAATAAATAATGTAATATACGAAGCTTTTCTGGCCATTTTACAGTAAACTGTAAAAAACTTGCAAATCACCCAGGAAATAAACACGTAAGCTTATTATGCTGATTAAGTTGGATTTAAATTTGGCCGCGCATCCGGTCGGCGCCTGAGCACCAGATAGAGCACTGGTGTAAAATTACAAATTACGCACTAATTAGTTGCTTTATTAGTTACTAATTTTAAAATAATTTTCGACTTTGGTGTAAAAGCTAGAGAGTAGTTTGGTGGTTGCAGTATTATTCTGACCTACATTGTTTCCTGAGCATTCTCGATATTTATGACATCAATAAAATGTAATACTTTAATTCATTTGGAAAATTTATATCATAAATCTCTCTGGTCATGATCAATAACTAATATAAGATTATCCACCCAGAGCAGCTAGCTATTTATTTTGTTATTAAACTATAATAAATATCTATATTTTTGACCGGCATTAACCAATGCCGGATTATTCTGTAAACTAGTAAAGGATACATGTTTCCTATATACTGAAAATTTAGAATTCGTGTTCATCTATTTGCATTCCAAGACTTTCCAAAAGTGATTTAAAGGAAGTTCTAGAAAAAGAAGAGAAATTCCGAGAATTCTATCAACGTGAAGAGGCTAAAGGAACATTGTGCATACCTTAGTGTAGTGTCAGTTCCAACACCTCGTTGTCGCTCCGTAGAAAGAATGGCTTCTTTTGATGTAGGAATACCAGACAAAACCAACTCTTTATCAAACTTTGATAAAGTATTTAGAACTTTAAAGATTGTTCCCTGTATAATTTAGAAATTGATTTTAAACAATACTGCATGATAAAACTCTTCCACCAAATGGCAAATTTGCGTTTCAAATGCATGCGGTCAAACCACGGTTCTACTACGGTCAGCTTAGCTACGGTTCCAGTACAGACACCTACCTGAACTTGGTTAATGTTTGAAAAGATAAATTCCTTTAACAGCGCATGAAGAGCATCTCTGAAAAGATAAGTACGTCAAATAATCTTGAATGGTCTGTGCTATATAATGTAGGTAGTGCCAATAAATAATAGAAAAGCTTCGAATGGGCAATTGGAGCGATAGACTAAATTTTGATCTAGGCAAGAAGAACAAAATCCATCACCACCGCTAGAAAGAGCATGTTAAAAGTAGTAAAATTGCAAAGTTTGCTTGTGAAATGTTGTAAAATGCGCAAAATATAGCCCTGCGAAATTTGCAAATTTTATATTAATTTGTATGACGCGCGAGAAAATGCACCACATTTGGGCCGAAAGTGGCCCCACCCCCACCTTCACGGAAAATTGACGGAAATTTTGACGGAACATTTTCGGAAATTTTGACCTAAAAGAAGGCTAAAAACAGTCTTTTCGAGTGCAATTGGTAGTCGGAAATTTGAAAGTTTAGTCGGAAATTTAGGAGGCTTTGTCCCCGCCCCCAGTGAGTTTCCGCCACTGGAAGCTTTCTTATTAAGTACGTCAAATGTATTTCTCTGCGATCTTAGGCATACGCCAAAATCTGCGATATCAAAAAAGGATTCTCACCTTGAGGTAACTTCCTGCGCTTTTTGACAACTGATCATCATCAGTTCTAACACCTTGGTTGCTAAAATTAGGCAGCAAACACTCAACATTTTTGTGTAAGAAAAATGATAATGGTTGAACTTTTTTCCAGCTCCCTAACGATCGCGAGAAACATCAGTGGCCATACCTTCACTTCTGATATACGGCGGTTCAGTGTCCGGACTGCTCGTGTCACAAGCCAAAAGACAAGCCAGGATATTCTTTAGTATAAGAGGAGTATTTCTGAAATTCATAAAACATGTCATAAAATATCGGCAATTTCTTCTTCATCCGATCTCCTCCACTGTGGAATCAAATCGCCGGATGGTAGTCATAAGAAAACAATGGGTGATTCCAGCCACAGACTAAATTTTGATCAAGGCACGAAGAACGAAATCCAACACCACAGCTAGAAAGAGCGTCTTAGAATGAGTAAAACTGCAAAGATTGGTTGCTAAATGTTGTAAAATGAAGGAAATCTAGCCCTGCGAAGTTCGCAAATTTTGTATATATTTGTATTACGCGCGGGAAAAATAACCACTTTCCGCTCAAAAATGGTTATTTTCCCGCGCGTAATGCAAATATATACAAAATTCATGCGAACTTCACAGGGCTGTATTTTCTTCATTTCACAACAAGTCTCAACTAAACTTTGCAATTTTACTCATTTTAAGATGCTCTTTCCAGCTATGGTAATGCATTTCGTTCTTCTTGTCTATAGATAAAAATTTTGTCAAAAGCTGGAATCATCGATTGAAGTGTCGTTATACATAATACATTTCAATTTAAGTCACTTTTTCGCACCAGAGACGTACACTAAAAGAGATTGTTGAATGAAGAAAATGAATGAAATTTAGCTTACCTTGCTGTTTCACCTGGTGACAGCGTTCGTTTAAATAGATCGCCAAGAAAAAATAACGTCTAAAAGAAGACAAGACAAATGTTACCGTATTTTTGCTCGAGCCGTAACGACATGTGCGATCATGTCTTTAAAATGCAAAATTATAGAAATATTTCTTTAAAGGAAGAGAAATTACCGGGATTAATTCTTGAGGAGAGCGTCCAGGAATAACCAAATAATTATATTTAATAATATTTATAACATATTGTCTGAAGTCACTAGAGAAAAACACAGAAGATGAAATGACAATACTAAGAAATTAAAGCGAAGATATAATACTTTACTCCTATACGTATTGCTAAAGTAGAGTATAGACTCGCTCAATTTCCTTATCACTATTAATAGTTTTTATCTAGAGTCAACATATTCAGGTGACTCCTAACTGTACGAGAAAATGCTGTTGTTCACAAGGAATCTGAGGCAAGTGGAACTGTATTTCTATACATATATGTACACAGCTAACTCGACTATACCTCGAATCTTGAGTAGGATTGGCGGACAGTGTCCCCTTCAAAACGTCCTAAAGGGATGTATAGCAGATGAGTGATATCATTATGAACAATCTGGAGTTTTGGAAATGAAAAATGAGGGGGGGGGGGCAGTAATGGCGACTGATTCACTTCTACACATGCAATACCCCTCCTCCACAGAACATTCACAAGATTCCCACCAGGGCACAAACTATAAGATTTCTAAGTTCACTTAACTACTGACCAGGAATGGATTCTTTATTGGCGAAGAGTTTGTTGATAAATAACACTTCTAAACAAAACATAGCCAGGAATGAATTGGCATAAAGTGAATGTACAAATTTATCAAGCAATTACTGAACTCATCTGCAACCATCCAATCAAAAATGCAGTAAACAAAATAATTCACTCAACTAAGCTGATCACTTGATCGATCGATTCAATCTAACAATCTGAGCAATTAATAATAATGACAAACCTGATTAAATACATGAAAGTAAGCAGCAAATATTTGTTTGATTTTTCGTTTAATAAATTCATCCCTTCTGAAGTCCAAAGACGCTAGTCCTTCTAGAAACTAAAATGCTAAACGTAAGAGACGTGCCAGGATTGCTCGTGATATAATACTTGTTCTCTACAACTCACCTCAGCCAAGTTTAGTTTAATACATTGGGTAATAGCCGGTGAACGTGGTTTCTTTGTGTTCAGTGGTAAGACAAGTTGGTCAATGATTTTTGGTAATAGACAATCATGTTGAGTCTAAAGAATTTAAAACAACATGCGTGAATGAGTGTTCCTTACTGGATCTCTAGGAAGATCACTTTAGAACTCATAGAGCCAACCCATCATAAATAAAGTTAGTTTAGTTTAGATTTTCTTCTCTAGTGAAGAGATGGCTCTTACTGGATCTCTAGGGAGAACACTTTAGAACACATAGAGCCAACCCATCATAAATGAAGTTCATTTAGTTTAGATTTCCTTCTGCAGTGAAGAGATGGCTATTACTGGACCTCTAGGGAGATCACTTTAGAACTCATAGAACCAACCCATCATAAATAAAGTTAGTTTAGTTTAGATTTTCTTCTCTAGTGAAGAGATGGCTCTTACTGGATCTCTAGGGAGAACACTTTAGAACACATAGAGCCAACCCATCATAAATGAAGTTCATTTAGTTTAGATTTCCTTCTGCAGTGAAGAGATGGCTATTACTGGACCTCTAGGGAGATCACTTTAGAACTCATAGAACCAACCCATCATAAATAAAGTTAGTTTAGTTTAGATTTTCTTCTCTAGTGAAGAGATGGCTCTTACTGGATCTCTAGGGAGAACACTTTAGAACACATAGAGCCAACCCATCATAAATGAAGTTCATTTAGTTTAGATTTCCTTCTGCAGTGAAGAGATGGCTATTACTGGACCTCTAGGGAGATCACTTTAGAACTCATAGAACCAACCCATCATAAATAAAGTTAGTTTAGTTTAGATTTTCTTCTCTAGTGAAGAGATGGCTCTTACTGGATCTCTAGGGAGAACACTTTAGAACACATAGAGCCAACCCATCATAAATGAAGTTCATTTAGTTTAGATTTCCTTCTGCAGTGAAGAGATGGCTATTACTGGACCTCTAGGGAGATCACTTTAGAACTCATAGAACCAACCCATCATAAATAAAGTTAGTTTAGTTTAGATTTTCTTCTCTAGTGAAGAGATGGCTCTTACTGGATCTCTAGGGAGAACA